AAAGCACGTGCAACTATTAACACTGTCCACGGTGCAATAAGCAAGAAGTAACCAAGCAGAAGGAGCACCGTGACTGTTATCATCCTCCCTCCTGCTGCAACGTCTGCCACCATGACAGGTGACAAAAACAAAGAGCAGTGAGCATGCTCTGCGTTCTTATGTTCTTGTTTTATTTATTCGTCAATTATATATATGTGTGTGTATATATATATATATATATATATATATATAGCTATTGCAGTGTACACAAGAACAAAGAACGGCTCTCAGTGAGGCTTCAGTCCCATCAACCTTAGTAAAGATCCGTCCAGAAGAATCGGATCGTTCCTGAATGTCATATCACTATATTGCACTTTGGTCACAGCGTTGTCCCATATTTGCGACACCTCAGTCAACACCTCCACACAATAATTCACAGTGGTGGGAAGTAACGAAGTACAANACAATAAGGAAAAAGTAACCAAGCAGAAGGAGCACCGTGACTGTTTTCATCCTCCCTCCTGCTGCAATGTCTGCCACCATGACAGGTGATGAAAACAAAGAGCAGAGCATTACAAGAACACAGAACAGCTCTCAGTGAGGCTTCAGTCCTTTAGGACTTAGTAAAGATCCGTCCAGAAGAATCGGATCGTTCATATTACTATATTGCACTTTGGTCACAGCGTTGTCCTATATAAGGGACACCTCAGTCAACACCTCCACACAATAATTCAGCGCATGAGTGACAACTTTTTTTCATCGTAGATGCAACATGTCTCTGTACAGCTAGCTTTGCTAGCATCACGTCCACAGATCTTACCTTTCTTAACCTTTCCTTCCATGTGATGCTAAAAGTTGGACGAAGTCTCCACCGTCTGTGAAAGCGAAGCGCTGTTGGTTTTACATGTCGCCATATCTTATGATTTATGCAGCTATTATCGTTTAGTTAGACATCTTCTCCCGCTCAGAGGAAACCACTGCGCATGTCTTGGAGCTCCACGTGCGAGTAAAGGTGGAGGCGATGGGTGACAACCAGACACTAAGTCACGTTATTGCTCGGATTTTACGGCGCCACCTTAAAACCCTGAACTTCACATTTTAACGGACAAAAAAAGCGCAACGCGACTTGAATGTAACGAGTAACGCGACGGTTTTGTAGAAATGTAGTGAAGTAGAAAGTACAGATACTTACTGTAAAATGTAGTGGAGTAAAAGTAGAAAGTACCCATTACTAAATCTACTTAAGTAAAGTACAGATACACGAAAAATGTACTTAAGTACAGTAATGAAGTACTTGTACTTCGTTACTTCCCACCACTGGAAATGCGGACATAAACTCATCATTTCTCAATTATCTTGTCCTTGCTGTTGTTACGTCATTATCATATTCATAATAAATTGTTTATTACAGAAGTTTATTTAAAAAAAAAGATTAACTTGTCCATTGAAATTTGTCCGTATTTCCAGACTATTTTTTTAAGTTGTAGTGCTTTGACGGAAACGCTGCAACCAAGATAGTCTTTAAAGAGGTTAGAAGTTTCCAGAATGACTCTCTGCACTGTATGTGCATCTAGATCAAAGAGAGGGTATTCTGTAAAATTGAGCTTTACATCATCTTATAATGTTATTCCGCCATCAAAAGCATAGCTGGAGTTTTGCTTTGATTCTTTCATAGACGTTTGAGGAATCCTTGAATCTCTTCTGGCAGCCATTCAAGGGTGCTTAACTAGCGGCAGCAGGAGTTAGCAAACACCTGGTGGAACTGCATGTCTGCCCAGCTAATCATACAAACTACGCTACGGTACTTCTTGGTCTAACACGCCTAAGAACGGATGTAAGCAGCAGTATGAGAAGCACTGCTGTGACAACATGCTGAAGGCGAACTATTGAAAAAGTAGAAGCTTCTTAAAGGGACACAGACCCAATTCCAAAGCGTTAAAGTCAAATTTATGTTAAGTCATGTTTGAAATATATAGTATTTTTATACCAACTGAAGGCAACATAGCTACTTTACTGTGCTATAAAACAAAAATATGTGTCTGAAAAATACATAATAAAATTAAATTTACAATTAGATTTCATAAAAGATTAGTAGCTATAGCCCCCCCCCCCACCCCCCAATGCTGCCGCCACTTTGGATGGTGCAAAGAAAGATCAATTCTGGCATCATGTAAAATGTGTTTTTTATATATATATTTCTGCAGTATCTGCGATGGTTTGTTTCTTGGTGCCTACCTGTAAAAAAAAAAAAAAAAATCTGATTTTTACAACATCCATCTAATCTGACGTGTTGATCTCTCCAGACCCCCCAGAGCTACAATTCTCCCTTTGGGTGCTTCTGTGATTAATGCTCAGTTCAGGTGGACGGCCATGTTTTGGTAGGTTTGCAGTTGTGCTGCGCGCTTCCATGTTCAACTAATGGATTCAGCGGCGTTGTGAGACGATTTTGTGTTATAACTTAACCCATAATTACTTTGTGTTGGTTAATCACACATGAAAGATTGTGGTTGTGAAATTGCACAATGCAATACAGTTCAAGGCCTACGACTACCTTTGCAAAAAAAAAAAAAAACAAAAAACTGTGCTGCTTCATTTTATTTTTCTCTTTTGCTAGCTTCATGAGAAAGGGAATCGAGGGAATAGGGGAGTCTAGATTAAAACAGTGATGCACTGCCAGGCTGCAAATTCTCCCTCACCCCCCGCCCCCCACAAAAAAAGGGGATAAGGGGAGGTGGGGAGTGGTGGCTGACGGTGAAGATGAAAGCAGGGCCGATAAGCAAACAGGTGCATAAAGACAGTGAGAAGGAGTTCAAAAATAGAATATTGTAGAGCTAAGCCAGCAGGGATGAATAATGGAGACGGAAGGAAAATGCAAAGGCATAGTAAGGAGGGGAGGAGTGGTGTGATTCCACATGGGAGGATGACACATGTCTTCTTCTCCTTGGAGAGTAAAAGTAGAATTGGGGGAGGGGCTGATTGACTGACACCATCTTCGCCTGTCATTCAACATCTACTCATCCTCATCAAAGCTGGCCGGGCGCCCTGCGATGAAGCCAAGGGCAGAAAACGAGCAAGGCACAATAAGATTCAACAATCTGAAGCTGTTCCCTTCCAAACAAGCTCACCACATAAAAGGTTTTCTCTCTCTCTCTCTCTCTCTCTCTATACAGATATCAGTAAAGCCTCACCTTTTATTTCCCCCATTATTCTGGCAAGCCATCTAAGAGTAGTGTCAACTGTTTCTGGCTGAAAACAAGCTGCGTTAAAGTCAACGTCATCTCTTTGAAGGAGTATTAGAGGAAAATTTAAAAAAAAAAACAAAGCAAACATAATTTGCTGTCAGCTGCTGCTGCTGCAGTCAGAAACATATTTTCCTCCCATCGGTCTCTGCTCTCTGAGTCAGGTAGGTTGAGTCACAGAGAAGTCAAACATGCTCCTTTTCTCGCGCCCCCCTCTCTCCCGCTCCTTTTCACTCTCTCACTGTGCTTGTTTTACCAACACCAATATGTGGTTATTAATTACTGCGTGGCCTCAGCTGCTGAGTCCAAACATCCTGAATACAGTGGCAGAGTGACTCACCAGACTGGAGCTGTCCGAGGAGGCTGCCAGCGACGGAATACATCACACACATCAACACTGCGGCCCACCGCTGGCACCTGAGAAGACGGTGTCTTAGCACTGCACCCTGCTGTTCAGCGCGGGTACTGCAACACTACCTAGATAGGTCTTCAGCACCATCTGGTGATGAGGGGACGAGAATGCATTTATTCGAAATGTAATTTTATGTTTTTATGTAGCAATGAATTTAAGCGTCGCCCACAACTACGAAATTATGCCAGAGACTGAGCCAGACACTGATTTTGATTGAGAGGAGAAATATTTTCCTTCTTGAATATTGTTGTAGCATCTTGTTTTCTTACTGGCGTTCTTTGAATAATTGTGCCTCCCTGAGCAACCTGATCCTAAGTGGCTATAATTATACATCGTCATCATCTTGGGTCATTCAAACCTTTAGATGTTTTTGTCATGAAATCAGTTGCTATGGTTTCATGTGATTTACGTCCTAGCAATCTGCTGTTATCTGAAAGAAATCCAAAGTATGAATTAGACTGATAGCAGCAAGATCGCCTCATAAAAATACAGATTTCATTTTTTTGTCTCACTGCTTGACATTAAATCTGACAAAAATGTTCTTGTTTTAAGTTAGCTAGGATTACCACAGCTTTTTCTAGATGGTAAATGCCAGAATATTAATTCTACACCATGAATCTGGAGGTGTTTAAGCATGTCTGTATTTCACAGAGCTGCCTGGACAGCTCTTTTAATAAAGTGAAGGCAAACTCTCAATCGCTTCTGCGCATACACACACACACACACACACACACACACACACACTGCGACTAATTCTTCTTCGCTGGGATTCGGCGGCCTCTTCAATCTGATTTAAATGTACCTGGGAATCAAAACTAGGAATCAAAACTGAAACATTTGAATGAATCAAATCTTAGTTCTAGTAGAAAAAGTTTGGGATCCACTAAGCTAAGGGAACTAAAAGAACAAAATTTGAACTCTCTCTCTTATACTTCCAGAGTCTCCGACCTGAAGATCCTGTTAAGATGGTTGTAGAGACCTAAATGTTGATTAAATCTTTAGATGGATGGATGTATTGATGGATCAAGACCTTGCTGTTTTCATCAAAGTGTGCAGCAAAACAGTAGGATGCACAAATGTAATTTCACCTAAATTATTAGGAAGTTGTCCCAACTTTAGCTCCATCTCCCTTTAGAAATAAAGTTGTACCTCACTGTTCTCAACAACTAAGACCACTTTCATGGTAAAAAAAACAAAAACAAAAACAACACAATCATCCTTCAGAGCCAACAAAGTAAAATCAGTGCACTAGCTCAAACTTCAATGCTAGGCTTCCTTTTTTCTTATTTATTACAGTTTCCAAAATGCAAACACTGTAATGCGACATCCATTTTATAAATCAGCCCCACTGCTGAGTGAGCACATAATTTCTCTGAGTGTTCACAAACTTAAAAAAAAAAAAAAAAAGCCCAGCTAAATCTTTGAAAATTAAATGCTTCTTTTGTTCCGAAGCAACAGGGAAAGATTTGCCGCAGCATCGCCTGTGGGGAGTAACTGAGCGGAAACACACGCTCCACGTTTTGACAGAGACAATTGATCAAAACAGACTAATTAATGTATGTGTTTTACATATATTCATTTCCGTATCAAATATTAATGGAAATAAACGTATTTGTTTTTCAAATGAGTGCGAGGCCTATCAAATATTTCAGACACACCTCATTAAAGATACAGAGCCGAGAGCGAGCATGCATTTTTAAAGGGCCACAATTCACAATGGAATCTCGCAGAGTCGGCTGCTTACTGGTGCTGGCCTAGATCGGCTCTGCAGAAAGTGGGAGAGCTGCCAGAGATCAAGCTCTTCTTGTAGGGGAGTCAAAACCCCTTTGGCCTTTATCTCCTCTAGTATATGTAAAGCAAATAGAAAAAAAACAAAAACAAAACTGCCCTTGGGCTCTCTAGATCTACCCACGCACAAATATTTCATGTAGATTTTTTTTTTTAGATATTTTATTCTTAATAGTATGCTGTCGTGTTCAAGATAAAATCAAACCGATATCGCTGGCCAGATCAAACAATGTTTTCTACATGCCATCGTCTTGTGGAGGAGTAGAAAGCAACAGGCCTAACAGGCTTGGCTTGCTGTTGATTTTGTGCAACCGAATGATTAATTGAAAACGGGGTGTGTTCAAAATACCAGCAGTCCGGAGTGTAATCAGCGAGCCGATTCATTCGGTGTCAAACAAATCATCGTTCAGGGGAGCTGTCTACTTCGATTAGAAAGCCGGCTGGATGAAGGAAAACGCGTGAAGGACCGCAGGAATAGATGTCCTGGTCTGCTGGAATGTTTTTGAATGCTTGGGACCCAAAAGTAGATAGCCAATGGAAGAAAGCTGAAAGCTAGGTTTTGAATTCATTAAAAAAAAAAAAAAAATGCCACAAATGGCAAAGACTTAGCCAATGATCAGCTCCACAGTGGTCAAGTTACCAGCTACCTGAACTGTCAGCAGAAAGTTTTGGCAAAGTGCCACTCCTTTTCTCATAATACAGCATCGGTTTCTAGGTTCAACCAAGGATCATAGATCAGTTTGACAGCATCAAAATACCTGACGAGCTCACGTTGCCTTATGCTGTAGATCAGGGGTGTCCAAAGTCAGTCCTCGAGGGCCGGCATCCTGCATATTTTATTTCTCTCCCTAGTGGTTGCAACAACCTCCTCTGCAAGTCAATGTTCTCCTTAGGCATCTAATGAGCCATCATTTGATGCAAGTGTGCTAAACCAGAGAGAGGCCTAAAACATGCAGGATGTCGGCCCTCGAGGACCGACTTTGGACACCCCTGCTGTAGATGAAATGCCCTTGAAGCCAATGTTTCACCAAAACAATGACACCAAAAACACACCAAGAACACTGATCTTGTTAGCTCCCGTTCCACAAGATTAATGCTACGAAACGGCAAGCTCAATTCACAAACCTTAGTCGTTTGACCTCAACACTTTTCCCTCATGTTTCTGGTTTGGACTTGAAGTTGCAGCGTTCCCAATGCGTTGGCATGAAGGCACAGACCTTTACTATTTAGAAGACTTGAGTCAGAGTATGTTAATGTCTCAACAGTTGAAGAATCCATCATCTCTGCCAAAAGTCCCTTTATTAATTTTTTATTTTTTTTTTTGTACTTGAACACTTGAACTCAAAGTTGAATACTGTGAATATCGCAGTACTCGCAGCAGGTAACAAAGCAGTAATCTCAAACTCCGAGAACAAACGATAACAAAAGAGCTAGAGTTTAAATAAATCATTCAAAGCTCACAACTTCCATGCTAATGTAAAGCCTGGTCTCTCTTTGCTCGATAGGGTTCTGCTGGGTGCTCTTTGCTTTTGCACAAAGAACTCAAAGTGTGTTATTGCCGTGATAAATTCACTGAACTATTCCGCTGTATGGCTTTGTATTATAGCGCCTTAGAAAACGCTAGCGATCATAAACGATACATCCAGGTTTTGGGGGGCACCAAGTCGTGCTGCGTCTCAGCGCCGAATTACATTTATTGCATATTAGATGGCTTTATAATAATGTGATCTGGCCTGTAGTCCAGAGCTGCCACCTCCAGAATTGTTGCGTAAGAGAGACTGTGACCAAGAGCAACAATGTATTCCACTGTACAGCACTTCAGTGAGCCGTTTGAAATGTGCTTTATAAATAAAGCTGAGAACAAACTGTACAGTTTCTAAAACGTCTATGAAGCAGGCATGATAAACCATAACAGTATATCATACACCGTTTGTCATTTCTTTAAAATGAGCATCCGAGTTCATCTCACAAAAAGCATGATTTCAAGAGGCAAAAAAAAAAAAAATTAATGAAAAATAAGTGCTTTTGACATGTATTTTTTCATATTCTTTAAAATGAGAGTTCAATGTCTTGCTTGCTCTCCTCACTCTGCGGTTAATTGAATCTTAAAAATGGAGATGTCATTCAAAGCCAATGTCACAGAGAGGATGAGAAGAATCAGAAAATGTAATTGTGCATCAAGTATTTAAAGCGGTGATCCCACACTTAGATAAACATCCCTGACGTTTCTCTCTTTATTTTCTTTTTCCCCTCTCATTTATTTTAATATTTTCATTGACTGGACCTGAACAATAACTTAATGACTGAACTAAAAGCGCCTTATAAATGTTTTCATACCCCTCGACTTGTGACCTGAAAATTGATAGAAGCAATCTCCAAATGCACGTGCTTCTTTGTATAATTCTGTTGAATTTTCAGTCTTTACATATGTAAGGACGTTAGAGACCTACCCGAGAAGGTCAAATACACTGACGTTTGTGGTGATAATGTGATAAAGAGGCATGAATACTTTTGGCGGCAGCTGTGGTGACGAGTTTGAACTAGAAGTACCTGTTAATTTTACACCGAGCTGTTAAATCTCTGGAAAAACAGAACAGCAAAATGAACCCAAACGTGACCCCGATTCACGTGGCACACGAGAAAAGAAGGCGCACAATGTTGACCTGTTGAGAAACACAAAGCCACCCTGATGTCGCTGCAACAGGTTTGAGGCTTTGATCTTTATCTTTGTAAGTATGACTCAGTATGAGATCATGCCGAGTCACAGCTACTACAATACAAAGATCATTTTAGCTCTTTGTGACGCCCACAGACAGAAAACACAAAGCCCATTGGAAAAAAAAAAAAAAATCTACTTTTTATCAACCTGTGAAGAGGTTCTCTCTCCTGATTTACCTCTAATAGTAATTGTATTCAGTACTTAGAAATATGCCTTCTGTACAACTCAAGTGTATCGAAGTGGAGTATTTACATTTTTATTTTTTTTGTCTCGTAGAAGGTCACCGAGGACAAGACAAACTCCTTCCTGAACCCTTGTACTACCAGTTCTATTCCTGTTCGGCTGTAACTTAATCTGCTACTCAACAAAGCCGCCACACATCAACGGGGGGGATGAGTAACAAACCGAATGCAAATTTTGTTTCACTTGGCACAGATTTCATTGTAGATGGCATTCACTGTATTCAAAGCAGGCTTTGGCGAGGCATTTGTAGCTCTGCAACACTGCTGAAAGCACAGACTGTGACTGAGGTGCTGTCAGTGCTCCCTCAGTCAACACATTCCCACTTCTGTGATCAGCCGTTTATCAGGCAGTCCATTAAATTGTGCATAATTAAAGCGAACGTCGTTACACTTGTAACAGCAGTCGGTGCGAAAACACACGAGTTTGGGGGAGATGGGGGGGGGGATTTCTGAGTGCAATTACCTGACTTCAACAGCAGAGGGGGCGCTTTGATCTGTCTCCTGCGTTGCACGGAGTCGTGATCCGTTTGAGATCTAGTGAGTCATTTCTCAGTACCACGGTGTCCTGTGCCTTCCACGTGGTGGTGAGTCACCCTCCAGTGGGGAAAGAACATGTAGGACAGCTTCTGACTGACATACTTGATGAGCAAATGCCATCTAAGAAATACTTGGCCACAAAGAGCGGAGCAATTCAGAAAAAAAATAAAATAAATAGAAAGTTGCCGCTAAAGGAAATTGATTTTGATCTCGCAAAACAAGCTTGTGAATAAATAACACCCTCCAGGTATGTACTGCAATAGAAAGAATGAGACCCACCAGAATGCTTTTTATTTCAATTTATTTATCTTTAAAGAACCAATACGAATCAGGGGGGGGGAAGGGGGTGTCTTCAAAATGGGTACAATGATAAAAAAAACTGACCATTTTCCATTCTCCTCCACCCCGTCTGTCAGACCAGATCCTGGGCTCAAGTGTGTGAGCTGAAATCTGCATATTTGTTTGGGGAAATCCTGTAGCACCCCCACCCCATCGCAACCCTCTCCTCCCCATTTGGTAAAATGAATGACAGCTGGAGGAGTGCCAGCTGGAGCAGCTCTTATTTCCTGTCTGAAATGTCTGCGTTCATGTAAAATGTGGGTGAAGAATGCTCAGCAGGGTCTGATGGGCTTATCTGAGGTGGACTGATTATTGCACTCCAACAAGACTTAGAAGAAGAAGAAGGAGAAGAAGAAAAAAAGTCATGGCTCTTACATAGTTACTTAAAAAAAAAAAAAAAAGAAAAAGAAAAATTGGATAACAAAGTGTCCTTGCCCCTGCCAAACTCAACACTCCCACAATTCTCTTGCAAATAAATATGATATATTCAGACTCAGTGAGGCCCTAAACTGAAAGTGACTTGAAGCAAGTGAGGAGCGAAAAAAAAAAATCATTAAACAAAACAAAAAGAGAACATTACTGCATTTTCAGGGTGAACCTTTTGAGTTTTGTGCAAAAACAAAAAACACAATCAAAATGTGTTAAAAGTTTAAAAATGTTTTTTTTTTTCTTTAAAGAAAAAGAAAAAAGGCCAAATAGCAGTGGAAGGAAATAAGAACAGAATTAAAACATTTCAGAATTAAAACCATGTATGTGTAAAAATAAAATTCACATAATGGAAGGTAAAATATCCCATGATTACAACTTAAAGTGAGAAGTAAAAAAAAATAGACAAGTACAGGATGGACTCGAGTGGAGGAAAAAAAAATAAAATAAAATTCTGGCCCGTGGTTTGGTTGAGCTGTAGAACCGGGAGGCGGGCCCATCTGTGTGCTTTGACCTTCCATTCATTGGTTCGGCTGGTGGACTTCCCCAGATCTAGTTTCATTTTGTTTGATCATTCGATTTCTCTCAGATCAATTAACCATGACTCAGTGTTTACAAATCATCACAACAATTACTGATAGCACTCTTTTTTTTGTGTTATTATCTCCTCTTTGTTGGAAGATTCCGAACTAGATGTGCATTGAAAGCGGATGCACAGACGGACGGCCTACTGCACGCAGCAGTTGTGGCCGTTATCTTTGAACCGCAGACGCATTTTGGGTCTGTATTTCTCGAGGTAAAGAAGCTGTTTGGAGTTGAAGGCTCCACGTCTCTTCCTACAGGAAAAAAAACAAAAAACAGGAAAGTTGTTTTAGTTCTAAATTGGTAAAGCACACACTCAAACTCAGAGGAATTATTAACCTTTTAGAGTAATCCACTTCTTTGCTTATTGACCATTTCTCACTGACAAACAAGGAAAGACGACCAAGACCAACAATGCGTCCACAACTCATTAACTCATCTCTCAACCACATGAAAAGGGTCCATATTGCAACCAGGCTTCTTTAAAGAGACAGTGGAGAATTTCTGGAATGAGGTTATTTTTAAAAACAAGCCAGTTTTGTCTTATCTGCAGCAGATAACTTGGCATCTTTAAAAGTATGAATTTCAACTGGTTAAAGCTTAAAGCTACACTGAAAGAAGCCTACCGTGCAGCATGTTTAAATGGTCAAAAATCAAAAATCTCAAAGCAGTTTATGCCAATGCTACTGTATAACTTTAAACCACTGTCATTCATGTTTGTGTCGATAGTAATTTACATCTAAGCTGACCATTATTTTTACACAGAAAATGGATGTAGGAGGCTGCGCACTCCCAATAATCGTCCCATGAAACAAAGTGTAAAAAGCAATAAAATGTTAACTTAAAGAGCTACAAATAATTAACAGGTTTTTGTGGGTGATTTGACTCTTTGGCTCCACTTAGAGCATATAAGCTTCATGCATGTCATTAAAAATAGGCATTAATAAAATGTGGAAGTCCGTGTTTACAAGAATGTCGTTGAAGAGACGGTGAAAGAGCAGGTAGGATACCAAAACAAGACGATTTACGCTTTAGTAGAAGAATGCTTTCGCAGGTTTGCATTACATATTGAATTCTAAGTATTTAATACTTTTTAAACTCACTTTACATGGACATTCTGATAGGAAAATGAGAGTTTGTGTCCAAGAACACATTTCATGTAGGAAGACTGTTGGTGGCACACCACCTACCTTCATTTCCTGTGTACATAATCAGTGGCTTCTTTGCAAAAATAGCCTCCTGATGTCATAAAAAATGGTGTTTGTGTAAACCGCTATGAAGTTCTTAAGGATTCAGTCATTTTAAGACTACAGAAGTCTTCTTTACTTCCAAAAAAACTGTTACACAACCCATTAACTTCAGCCTCCACAACCAGTTAAGCTGGATTTATATTAATAAAGATGCAAATATATTCATCCACTGCTTATAACCTTTTAACCTAGTCTCAGTCCATAAAGAAATAATCACGTTTCGAGTCTGTAAAGCTCTAAGACTAGTACTCACTGCCTTATGAACTGCACGGCGTCTTCATACTTCATTCCTCCCTCAAGAAGGGCTAAGGCCACCAAGACTGGAGCTCTGAAAGGTAAAGGAATCCATTAGACTGGTTAAAGCAAGAACGGGGAGAACAGGAGATGAAATGCCAAGGTTCGCAGGGCTCCTTGGTAATAAAATGGGGAGGGGGGGGAAGGAAGGTAAACCTGGGAAACAGGCCTGGGAAATCTACAGGGGTGTACAAGTTCATAGGCGCCCTACTGAGCCGCTGTACTAGTACTTTGTGATAAGTTACAGTAAAACGGCCGACTGCTCGCTCACCAGAGAGAAGACAGGATGAGAAAAAAATAAATAAATACAGCAGTTCCTTGGACGAGGTCAGATTTCAGCTCTAGAGCAGCATTTCCTTCAGCTACTTTTCTAGCTCAGAAATTCTGAGGAGCAGCGAATTAGAAAATTGAAAAGAAAAATGAACTTCAAACAAAAATCTCTCTGTCTCAACACCTTCTCTGGACCAAACTCATACAGACGAGTTCAGCGAGTAAACTTCTACGAAAAAGACTGGTGGTGGTTTCAGAAAATACCAGTCTAACCAACACTTGGAAAAACGAAGCCCCTGGAATGTCACAGCAATGCAAAAGAAAGAAGGAGGGAAAAAAAAAAGTGCTAGAAGCTAGAGGGAGAACTGCTGGGTTTGCTGAGTGCTTGTGGTCGGAGAAGACACTTTCGCACCAGTTCGCCCACATCATGCGCTTCTGCCCGCATTGTTTTCGCACTTGTGCCATTCGACGCGACTAAACTGCAATTCCCCGGCACACTGAGGTGCAATTACAACGGGGCATAACTTCACATTACCCGTGCAACCTCGCTTTACGGCGAGCGAAAATCGAATTGCCTAATTTTGCGGTCAGAGACAGAGCAGAGAGTGTTGTAACTAATGACGGATTATCTAATCGGTTGACTTTATTTACAGAGCCCTCAGGGAACAGGAGGAGAAGACAACAGTTCAAGTTGCGAGATGAAACTCAGCACTGGGACAAAAGACAATCAGCTCAAGCTGTGTCATGTCTAGGGGAGAAGGAACAGGTGGTGAAGGGAAGAACGGAGGGTGAGAGGATGGCTAGACGACAGGAAGATTAGAAAAAAAAAGTCGACTTCTCAGACACTTAACAATTCAGAGCTTTCTGTAGCAGTGTGTGAACTCTGTGACCTCATCTAGCAGTCAGTGTGTTACAGAGGGATGAAACAGAGCCTTGTCTGACCAATAAAAGCCCCGCAACTGGACAACAACTGGACCGTTTAGAGGCAGGGCTGCATCCAACAGGACTACATTAAAATATACTTGTGTATCAGAATGGCCCAGTCAAAGCCCAATTCTAAATTTAACTGGAATTCTAAGGCAAGATATAAAAAACTAATGTTCACAGATACACTTTTCCAATAACATTCAAGCACTTTTAATGTAAGGTTTCAAACTTTTTCAGCACCACACTTTGGACATAAAAAAAAAAAAATCAATTTCAATAATGCTGTTTAACATGCAAAATATATGACAACCTTTATTTCTATTATGCAGATCAATAAGTTACTGTACCAAAAGGAATAATAAATATGTAATATAGTGAAACTATCCAAAAAAGGTCATACAAATGTAAATGATCTTCCTTCTCAAATGACACTTAACACAATTTACAAAGAAATTTACAAAAAAAAAATAAAAAATAAAAAAATCTCTAAAAAATTATATTTTTTCCAGGTTTTCTGGCATTTAGCAAATAGAAATACTTCTGCTGATTCCAACTGATGTAAAACAAGAAGTTTTTTTTTTCTAATTTAACTTCAGACAGCGAGAAACAAAATGCGTCGGCTTTTTCATTGGGTGAATGAAAACATCTGGTTTCAGCTGTAAATACTGTATTCCAAATTTAGGATTTCAATCAGACGTCACATTGTGCACTTTGATTTTCAAACTGCACAGTTTTGTAATAACCTCTCTAAAGGACTTTATCCAGGAATCAAGGAAATTGCAAACCTCGAAAACACCCAACTGAAATTGTGTGAATTGAGCAATTCCTGCAGGATTAAATTGAAGCTTTTGTCTGGGGAAACGACAAAGTGAGACATTCGTACCTGCCCAGCCCTGCCACACAGTGCACAGCGACGCAGCAGCCAGGTTGCTCTCGAAACTTGGTGTTAAGCAGCTTCAGCCAGTCGTCCACAATCTGCGTGGGTGGAGGGGCGCCATCATCGAAGGGCCAGTCCTGGAGACAGAAAGAGCAAATTGAAAACTAATCAGCACGAATGACTTCGGAAAGGCAGAGACAAGCCCAGAAACGCGATGCTCACCAAGACTTGTATGCCCTCCTTCTCCACTGGAGCCTTATCGTAGGTGGCGTCACAAACTCTCACCAACGTGTCTACCTCGAACTTTTTCAGCTCCTGACAGACGACAAACGACGAGCTTTTAGTCGGAGACATTCAAAACAAATGTGAATGCAGTCGACCAATAAAGCCTCTCACCTCGGTAAACTTGTTGAGCGTAGCATTGGTGGGATTGTGGGTGATAAGGAACCTCATGGCCTCATGTTTAATCTCGACTGCAGCAGGGCGGTTCATGTTGGCGAGACGGCTTGAAAAAACAATTACAATACTCATAAAATAAAAAGCGACTTTTGGCTCAGATGTACAGATTGCTATGAGGTTTGAGTGATCGGGGAAGGGTAGAATAAATTAAAAAAAGGACAAGACGTGAAGAAGAATGGTTCAGGAGAACGACAGGTCTTCACTGAGGGATGATGCACACAGAGAAAAAAATAACAAAAAAAACTCAAACAAAACTAGTCCACAGTTTTCTGGGATGAGTAAAAATGTAAATTGAAAGGAAATTGAAACAAAAAAAATAGAAGGGGAGGGGGAAAAAAAAAAAAAAAAAAAAGAAAAAAAAAAAAAAAAAGGATGAGACTATCCAAAAGTCATCCAATGAGTTTACCCCATTCAGGAGAGTTGGTTGTGATTGGCTGTTCAAGGAGAAAGCGGAAAGCAAATATGTTTCGTATTGGTTGGGATAGGGCAGGGCAGTCGGGCCAAGGACTACGCGATATCCCAGAGATGAAGGGAGGCCTTTTGGGAAAAAAAAACGTCAGCAGTTCCTAATGTGCTGGCAGTCAGGGAGGTTTCTGGGTAGCGTAGTCCCTCGGGGGGCGGCCGATTCACTTCTCCACTGAGGTGAGGTGCTGTGCCTGGCAGAATTCTCCGGTCACACACGCCATATAGGTACGGCTGAAGTCGACACAGAAAGCCTGCGAAGAGAGGGGAAAGAGGATTCTTAAAAAATAAATAAATCATATTTAGATATCACACGTTTAAAACATTTACATTAAAAGGGAAGTGCACATTTACCACACTACAAAACATTAAAAGTTGTTCTGCAGAGGATGTCCACATGGTCGTCTGGTTGAAACCCCTACTTGGTACCACAAATGCAGAAATGCCATTTTCAGAATGTAATTACTGCTTGCTTATATTAGACTGTGTGACCCGCCGTTGATATTTCACTTCCGACTCTGATGAAGACACAGATCGTGTCAAAACGTTTGCACAATAAAGCTAAAAGCGGCTCGTCGGGCTTAAATCCTGTCCGCAAGTTTGTGCTGCGCAGCAGCAGCAGCAGCAGCAGCAGCAGCAGCAGCAGCAGCACTGTTAGTCAGAAAATGTGCAGAGTGTCAATCTTTTAATCAATATTTCATGTGTTCAAAGTATGAGAGGTAAATGGTCATTTATGTCCTCCAAACCAAGTCAGAACATTATCTCCGTCAATAAAAGTCTAAAAATAATCTGCTCCAGTTTACTAAACACAAACAGACTCGGAACAAAACAACTCACCGTTTCTTACCTTTCATACCTCAGACCATGTCCTAATATTTTTTTTTAATACACTTCCCGATACATAAAGCTTGCTTTAGATCTTAAGAGTGCCTATGTTATCCTTAATCTCCGTATGCATCCAAAAAACCAAACTAATTGATTCCTTTCCCTCGGCCAGCGGTGAATGGTTAAGGTAACACAAAGTGCCTTAAATTAGAACAAGTCCATGAGCTGAAACATGTTTTATAAGCTGTACTCAGATGAACAAATATTGCCTAAAGTTTTGGATGAGCATGACTGGGCCAAATACTTCAGTTATTTCAGGGGCTTTTTTTTTTTTTTTTTAGCTCTCCATAGAAAATGGCTTCCCATTCAGCAGTGTAATAGAGGGATATTAAAATTAATACAGAAGTCTTGACTGGACAAGAGCTTTTAAATCACACAAGCCTCCCATCCTAATCAAATTCCATGATAATGGATTCAATTTTAAAAGTAACGGAAAAGTTTATAATGATTATTTTTGAATTGGTGTGTGTTTGGAGCTCTAAAGCTCGATTAAATATTACAGTTTGAGAAATATTGAAATTTAGAGGTCAACGATGAACAACGTGTGCGACCCTCATCATAAGCAATATATTAAAGACATAGTATCTTGTATTATTCCATTAGCTCCACAATAAATGGTAACATTCAAGGACAATGCAATGGCAATGTGGCCAAAAGTCTCCACTGTCACAGTCCACACTAAAGTGCATTAATGATAGCACTTCAAGAGCACATCCGTCCGTTTCTAATCATCTTAAATGTAAACTTGAGTGACTAAAACCCTCAATAAAAAGGACACACCTAACCTAACTAAATGCGGTGTAGGCGGCGTCTCATTGTTTGAAGGACACCACACACCCAGCATATCTGAGGTGTCTAAACATGCAAAGGATCACTTCCTCTTCCGGTGACCAAGACTAATCTAATTACATGATGTTTAATCAACAAAAAACTAGAGCAAAAGGTACACAGGGTATCTGCAGGTTCCAGAAAGTATGACTTTAAACCCATTTTCCAATATCACCTTGAGTGACATTCAAAGCCAAAAAACAAAAACAAAAAAAAAAAACCTACAAATACAAGGGGTTCTTCAGGGATATCTACAGTCTTAAAGGCCCAGAATGCCAAGCTTAAAAATTTGGGGTTGGCAGCACAAGCGGTGGATAACAAACATCGTCCAGGCAACTGACCATAAATGTGCTCTTACCCATGATGCATAAAAGCTAGTTAGCTAGGATATATTTTTTATATACATTATATATATAAACTACATAGAATATACAAGACTAAAAAAAAAGAAATCCTGCCAGAAAAAACATTTAAGAGCTGTGAGTAATGTATTCAGGCTGACATACATTTTTATCCTAATGAACTTAAGACATTTTAAGGTCTTAATCTTGCATTAAAAAAAGAAAAGAAAAAAAGAAAGGGTAAGACATTTAACTATGTGCGGACAACCTGTTATACGCAGAAGAATAATCAAATTTTCTGGTCTTGGAATAACAAAGACCAGAAAGTTGTATTAGTAAGTTAATCTTGATTTTTTTTTTTTTTTTAATCCTGCAACCTGCAGCACATTTCTGAGTCTGTAACATTGCTTTACTTAGCTGTGAAATTACAACACCTTTGGATTACGACACTTTGTAAATTCACCACCTGTCACCCAAATGGAAACTAATAATATGCACAGCAGGGCTGGCGCACACACGGGGTTCAGAAGGCTCCGTCCCAGAACAGGTAATGTCTGGTCTGTAACTAGCTAGGGAGTTGTCAGTCAAACCGCTGCCAAGTCCTCGACAGTCTAAAACCAGCTGCTGCAAACTGGCTGGAACCGTCTCAGAGCGTCATCACACGGAGGTGTGTGTGTGTATACGAGGGCCTGCGCAAAAGGAGGGGCTGCGGGGAGCTGGCTATCACGACTAGGTACACACAAGAGTGGGTGGTACAAGGCTCACACTCTATCACTGCATAGGCCATAGTCACAAGGTGAGGATTAAAGGGGGGGCAAAGATTTAACAAGAGCCAGAACTTCAGTCCCACGCTCCCTTTTTAACTCTTCAAAAATGACCAGACTCGGTTCTGAATCACCGTTTCTCTCGCTTACACTGGCAAAAGCAAATTTCGATGCGTCTCAACTGAACCCGCTTCCCTGGTAGTAGGTTTTATAAAGACGAAAAACAGCTCAAGGGATCCAGGAATATGATGCCATTCTTAGAAACCACAACAACTTTCTCATCTTTCCTCAACTCCCACCAAGCTAGACTGCTGCCGCTTACCCGCAGTCAACTACCAACCAGAGTCAAAGGGACGCATCTACCCACTCTAAATTCTACTATTCTCTTCTTCTCTCCCTCTTCTGTACTTGGCAACAGCTATAAGGGCACTCTCAAAAACAGACTTGACTTTTTTCTTTCCCCCACTCCTTTCATTCTGTGACGGCCAAGATCCTCTGTGACGCCTTTAATTACCACCTTCGAGCTGCCAGAAACAGAACAGGAGGGTTGCATGCAGACAGCTGAAGAATGGGGACTTGAAGGATTTAATGAACTTTTGACTCTTCAGAAATGGAGTGTCAAAAACAAAACAAAAAAAAGATGGCTGCCGGTTGTTTTTAACATTAGCAATGAGACACAAAGATACAAGGAGATGAATCAACAGAAGCGGAGCAAAAACATTGACACAAGGACCAGACAGGACCTCCACAATGACAGGTTATGTCAAAAGATAAAAAAAAAAAAAAAAAAAAAAAAAAAAAAAAAAAAAAAAAAGACTAGGGATGATTGACCAGATGCAGAGAAGTCATATTGTTTGTTTTGAAGACTCAGCAAACAGCAGGGTTTAGAGAGACAAAAAGACAGGGTGACAATTTGAATGTCACCAAGAGTATAAATAAATAAAAGGAAAGTAGGGCTTTGTTTGGGGGCGGGATTTACATTATGCCTAATGAAGTCTGAGCAGGCCTAAGCATCTGCACTTCCCTTTTAGCAGCTTGCCATCCACTTAACATGCTAATAAGCAAACAAAATTCATGGGCTGACTGAAAATTTGCAACGATTCCGAAAACTGTTGACGCAACAACTTCTTCTTTTAAAAAGAAAAAAAAAAGAAGAAAAAAAGGGTAACCAACACCATCTATAGACATTTGTTGCTACAACATTTACATGCTCATTTCCCTGATAAATATGAGCGAAGGATCAAGATATGCACTTTAATACACCATGCCTTCATTTGCATTCAACAAAGTTTCTTTAGATTGCATTTAATCTTGAAATAAAACCACCCACTGAATTTTTCAGTTTGTTTACATTCCAAGTCAGATTTTCACCTGACTTGTTCTAGAAATAAACAGGATAATGAAAAAAAGAAGTTGATTTTATTGAGCCCTCAAAGTAGATAAACAAATTGGGGCGGGGGTGATTTCAAAAAGGAAGTAGGTAAAACTTGGCAACATCAGACCAAAGCAGCTGCCTGTAGGGCTGTCACATTGTCGGGAAGGCATGCAAATTACAGCTGAAATTTGCAAACTGGTTCTGCGATCATGAACCACTTTAATGCAGTAAGAACGAGATGCACTTGCACTGGGTTTGTAGACGACGGAGCATGTTTAACCACACAGGAAACAAACCGTGATGCATAAATTAGCAGTCAGAGCTGCTGAGTGACAAGTCAGCCATCTTTGGTTGAGCTGATAGTGAATGAGTGGTAGAGGTATTATGTTAGGCATGAGTAAATTGAAACTTGCTTTTACTTTCTTATGCAATTGACTCCTGATAAATCCCAGAAAACAAACAAACAAAAAAGGCTTGAAATTTAAGGGTGTGCAAAAAATCTGAAATAGATTAGGGAAAAAAAAAAGAACTAGTCGTGGGAAATGTGAATTGATTCAAAAGGAAAAAAATTAAAGATGTGTTCAAGTTGAACTTTTTTGCAAGTATACTGCAAGTCACATTATGTCTCCATTTGGCTACCATAAAAGGCCATCTTTGCACAACTTATGCATTTTAAATAATTCTTTGACACATTTTTATTTAAGAAAATCCAGACAGCTAAGATAACCTGATGCTGGTAATTTAAGTTACATAATCGTATGCACACACCCATTTTTCTTTTTAAATAAACTGATGGAATTTGATACACTATGGAACCTTATAGACCGTTTTAAATTAATGTTCTGCTTTTTTTACACTGCATTTTCCTCTTCTCAGTCATAATTGAGACAGAATCTCTTAGCGTTTACTAGAAAAATTTGTTTCTGAATTTTATCACTAAACACTGAAAGATCCACATCTCTGTTGGAATTCATCTCCTTGCTACAGTGCATGTGTTCAAAATAAAAGTGTTCAGCTCAAAAGCCTCTGCACTGCAAGTCTCCGCCATGTACACACGGCAA